GTTGTTAAATGTGGGTTCTTGGTATTTTGCTATATTGCTAATCTTTCTGTGGTCTCAGGTCTAAATGGGTGGAAACACATCTCTGATAAATAAGTAGAAAAATATGCTTTATGTGTTTCTTAAAAGTCAGGAATATGTTTTATGGTGATGGCATGTCAGAATCTCCTGGGAGGTTTCAAATTACAGCAAAAACATTGCCAGAGAGAGAGACTCATGCCCCTTCACTGCTCAGGGGAGGCTCCCTTCTTGACCCATCCGGGTGTGGCTAGAATGGGGAAAAGGCTGGGACCCACCACCCGCTGCTGGGAGGCTGCATGGGCTGACCCGCCTTGCCTCCTCTCCGCAGCCCCGTGTGCATGTGCACCTGCTGGGTACCTGGGGGCTGAGGTCTCTCTTGTGAAGAGGAGTTGAAGGGCACCCATCCTTGGAACTTAGACACACGTGGGAAATGGCAGAAAGCAGATTTTGAGCAGGGAACCTGGGGGCCCTTAAGATACAATAGCCGCCACGAGAAGCAGAAGAATGGCCTAGGGAGCCGGGGTGCCCAACACGGCCTGAGGGGTAGAGGTGAACGTGGTAGCTGTTCCCTCCACCCACCAGGCCCTGGTTGCCCTAGGGATTAAAGGACGTGAGCAAGCTTCAAAAGCAGTCCCTGTAAGCTCTTAGGGCCCAGGCAACTCCTCCGCAAGGCCCCTCTAAGAAAGCAGGACAACACGGAGGAGCCACTCCCTCCTGGCAAAGTAAAACTGAGCACAGGCCAGGAAAAAGCACAGACGCGGAGCCGCAACCTGGTCGGGCAGCGGCGGCACCAGCACAGGCAGCGCTGGTGACGTGCTGAGTTGCAGAGGCTGAGGCGGCAGAAGCTGCGTTCAAGCATGGCCTCCAGAATGTCAGCACAGAAAAAGCGGGGAGCAGTGCTACACCCCAGGAGCTAGGCTGGCATGCAGTATCGGTCGAGACTCCTGAGATCCACGAAGAGAAAGGAGTGAGCAAAGCCCTGCAAGCTCACACACACAGGCTCTCGAACGGGGCCCTGGGGCCGGGTATTTAAGTAACAGACACACCCACAGGCAGGTGGAGTGGCTCCGCTACTTCTATAGGGTGTTATTTTAGTTTATCCTCTGGACTCTATTTACACCAAGTAACTTAGCTCGAAACCTCAGCACTTTATTTTGCTTAAATTATTGGGATAGTTTCTTCATACCTAGACACACTATCTTAGGTCCAGAGACTAAGGAAAAGTATTTTCTTTCTGTCTCATACTTCCTCCCCTTTTGTAACCTGTGTTAACAGCAAATGTAATCAACTTCCCCACAAGCAATTGTTTAGTTTAGGGGAGATAAATATAGAAGATAAATAAAGGAGGTGCACCATTACTAGAAGGTGTTTTCTCATTTATGGAATTGCACACACAGCAATTCATCAGCTATTGGTTTTTTTTTTTTTCAATCTGCTATTGTTTTAGATTTGAATTGTACAGTTGCTGTATTTTGCTTTATACAAACATGTCCCAGATCATAGTTCGTGGCTCTGGAATATATTTTACAGTACATATGGGACTGGCTTAGAGCCATCCCGTCTGTGGTTATGTAAAGCCAAACCACGTTATCATAGCTTTGTTGCACAGTTACTTAAAAATAAACTAGGACTTATTTGTTGCCCATGTCAGTCCTTGAAACCAGTGTAATTCTGACTTTGGAAATTCCACCTTATGGTCTACCCAATTCAAAGCAAATACACAATTCTCTGTTGGCAGTCTGCGCTGCAGTCCCCTGTGCTAGGAAACCCCATTGCCACACTCCCTGGTTGAGAGACATACAACAGTGATCCCACCCCCTGGTAGAGAGTGATCCTTGCTGCAAAGTGGTCCTTGCTGCAAAGTACTCGAGACTCAGATTTCCTCCCTGGTTGCTCATGATTGATCCCAGTGGGCATCCAACCTGAGTTAGAACAGTCAGAATCATGCTGAAAATTTAGACCTAGGTCAGAGGGAGTCAAGTTGGTGTCTCCTGTGCTTGAACTCTGGGATGTAAACCATAGGAGATGTTAGCAGTGAGAGAGGAGAAATGAGCTTAGAGAAGCCAAAGGGAGAAACTGGATGAGGGAGAGCGATATCACTCATGTCCCTGGCGTTCCTGAGGCCCAACTGCATTCCTGATCCTGGATTCCTTGAGACACCGCCATGGCCTTAGAGGGCTTAAGCTGGTTGAAGGTTACCTGAACCAAAATATGTCTAATTAGCACAAGAGATGTTGGTAGCCAACATAAAATACTGATAACAAAAATAGGTAACACTTAAATAGTGAAGTTTTCCAGAAGAGGAAACTGAGAAGAGGCAGGTTAAACGCTTGCACAAGATCACACAGTAGGCAGCCTGGCCCCAGAACCCAGAGGAGCAACCTCTCCATTGCTCACATCTCAAAATAGACACAAAGGAAAAGGCCTGGTTTGGTGTCAGGCAGATGTGGATCGGTTTCCTCACTGAACCACTTGCCTGGGGCTAATTACTGGCCCTCAGTTTCTTAATCTGCAAAATGGAGATGACCAAAACAATAAAATAGAATTGTTGCAAGGGTCAATGAGATATTGTAAATAACGTGCCTTGGCCCAGTAGGCATTTGATAAAAGTTACTTCTAATCTGTTTTCAATTTTTCATTTATAATTAATGGCAGTGACTAGAACTGATAGAATATTATGAAGAGTGGTAGTAACAAGCATCCTTCGGTATTTTTACTGTTAAATATATTGCTGAGATAGATGTGCTTTATTTTGTTAAGGAAGCATTCTTCTATTGCTGGTTTACTACAGAGATTTTTTTTTTCTCCAGAAATTGGTGATGGATATTTTCAAGTAACTGTCCAGTTTGTAACCCAAAAAAAAGTCATATAATTTTTGTCTTTTGACCTTATACTTGATTTTAGTAATAGAATTCTTAATATTGAATATCCTTAGTTGTCTAATTAAACATCCTTAATCATTTTGCATTGTTCTGGAAATGAACTAGTAAGTTCAATTCTCTTGTGTTTGTCTAGGATTTATGTACAAGTGAAATTTCTCTAGTTTTCTTTCTTGTTTTATCTTTTCCAGGTTCCACTTTGTGGTTATGGTAGCTCATAATGATGAATTAAGAAGTTTTCCACCTTTTTCTGATTTCTGGAACTGTTGAAATAGCAGAAAGGTTTTCTGTCCTTGAGTCTTTGAAAGAATATGTCTTTAAATATATATATATATCCAGTCCCAGTATCAATTTTCGAGATAGGCCTTTCTCCTCAAAATTTTCTACTTGGCACTGTGGTTATCGGTCTAAATTTTCTACATCTTCCTGAATAAATTTGAATAATTTTTATTTTGCTAGAAAATTTTTAATTCATTGAGATATTCAATTTTTTAGCACTAAGCTGAAAATAGTAATCTCATTTAATGTTATCATTTATTCCATATCTGCATATATTTGCTCCCTGCTATGATTCCCAGCTCTCTTTACTGGACCCTCAGGGGCCACCTCTAAGTGGGGAAGCCACGGGCCCATCACTTCTGTGCAGACCTTTAGTCTTTTCCTGGTTTGGATCATCTCGGTCGTCTCTACCTAGATGGCCACAACCCTACTATCATGTTAGAAGCATGGGTTACAATGCCCTAGAGTCTATTTGGAGTAGGTGAGCCAATCTTCTATTGGGGTAGAAGATAACTGTTTTTATACACAGGATGTGGTTACTGTCTTGGGGACCAGTCAGTTATTGGGGTGGTCAGGAAAGGGCATCCAGGAATGAAGCACTGGTGGGGTACCCAAGCCCAACGACCCATTGTCCCAGAAGCCCCCTATCCATAGTGCCCCATAGCACTTTCACTGAGGTTTTGTTTGCCTCTGGTCTCTTCAGAGTCAATAACACTAGCATGTTATTTCATGGAAAAAGAATCATCTACTTCAAACATACCAATTTGAAGTGTTTTTATAAATATATGTATTCTATGGAATCAGATACTCGATTCATTTTACCATCTTTATAGCAGCTATAGAGTAGGAAACCCCGTGAGTCTAAAAAGACCCACATAAAAGGCATTGGAGATAGATTAGTTGGAAATTCTGACAGGGAGGATCAGAGAAAATTCAGAACTAAATCCCTGATTAGGTGAGAACCTACTTAGAGTGGACACCAGGGAGACTCCAGTTATGAAAGTAGGTGTCAGAGATAGGCAAGGCCCACATGGTGGGGAAAGCATAGGGTGCTAGACCAGGCAGGCAAGAAGCTGGTTTAGGAGCAGGCAACAGTGGAATCAAGCCCAGGCAGCCTCAGCATTTTCCTAAGCAGGTTACTTGCAAAATGCTCAGGAAGTCAATGCTCCGACAAGAATTTAAATCAGTAAAGGCACTTACATCTGGAGGTGGCCAGATCTGTATGGGCAGTTCTTCCTAGCAGTGACCTCATTCTGTCTTTTATGTGGCTGGCAATTTTAAAGAGTGATGCTCATTCAGCTTATCTCTTACCATGTTGTGATTCTATGTAACTCTTCCCCACTGTCTGCAAGCACAACTGCCATATGGGCTCCATACTCAAGCATGGGCCTTAGGTAATGTAGATAAAATGCTTGAATGGGTAAGGACGCACACCCAGAAAGCCGTCTGTGTCACTGGATCCAGGTCCTCCTCCAGTTCAGTGTGGGCGTTGTATCTAAGATTTCTGAATTCCCCTTCCCAGTGCTTTCCTCTTCTTTGGTCCTCATTCTCCCAGGTCTGAAAAAGGTTCTGAAAAAATGACTCGAGTCTGCTACATGGTGGGGAAAGGAGGCTTCCTTTAGTACCTAGCAAGCACACAGGCATTTTTCATGGTAAAGCATAAGGAGGAGGAGAACAGGCACCTCCTTGCATCATCAATGAGAAGATTCCTTAAGCAACTTGAGATGAATACTCAAAAGAAACACATCAGATAAAAGTGCAAACTAAAATATTTAATAATGTAAATTTCCACTTATCCATTTCTCTGCCTTGTCTGTGTTCCAGGTTCAGGTTTAGCGGTCGCATCCTGGGCTTGGCTCTGATCCATCAGTACCTTCTTGACGCTTTCTTCACGAGGCCCTTCTACAAGGCACTCCTGAGACTGTAAGTGCTTTGCAGACCACGCTTCCACCCCAGCCCTGTCTGCAGGGCAATGACACCGACCTCTCTGGTGCCACTGACCCTTTTGTCCCTGTTTTGCCCTAACCATTCCTGTTAGGGCTATGGTGGCTTCCTGTTCTGAGTGCTTAGATATCATATACATTCTTTAGCACAATAAAAAGGCATTTGGGGATGTTGTTGTTGTTGTTGTTGTTGTTGTAGAGGAAGATTCTATTATCAGAATGTCTTATCATGGAGATGAATCATTTTATATAAAAATTATAATAATATTACAAACATTGCATTAAACTGTTAAGTAGAACTGATCAGTTTGTAACGTAGTTGTTTTAAAATGATAGTTTTCTCCAACTTTCATGCAGAGTCCATGAGTCAATAATTATTTCGTGTTTGTTATTGTAAACAATTTCACATTTTCTTTTCAAAGGAAAATCATTTGAATGAACTGAAATGACTGAATGATCTGATTCATTAGTGTATTCAAAAGTATCAAATTGTTCGGATAAGTCTGGACGTTTTAGCCAGGAATGATATAACTACATTTTGAAGTGAGGTCTGGGTAGCCATTTGTTCAGTAATTCTGTTTGCCTTTCTCACTGAATTCACCCAGGCCCTGTGATTTGAGTGACCTGGAATATTTGGATGAGGAATTCCACCAGAGCTTGCAGTGGATGAAGGACAACAACATCACAGACATCCTAGACCTCACTTTCACCGTTAATGAAGAGGTTTTTGGACAGGTTTGTGTGATATGGAGCTTGGAAAAGGGATTTTGTTTTTTACTATGGAAAATACGCATAACATGAAATTTATCATCTTAATCACTTTTAAGTGTAGACTTCAGTGGTTCAGTGTATCCACATTGTTGGGCATCCAATCTCCAGAACTTTTTCATCTTGCAAAACAGAAACTCTACTCATTAAACAATAACTTTCCCTTTCTCCTACCCACAGCTCCTGGCAACTACCATTCTATTTTCTGTTTCTATGAATTTGACTACTCTAGATACTTCATATAAGTGGAATTATACAATATTTATCTTTTTGTGGCTGACTTATTTCACTTACTGTAATGTCCTCAAGGCTCATCCATGTTATAGCATGTGTCCGAATTTCCTTCCTTTTTAAAGCTAAATAATATTTCATTATATAGATATATATGTGTACACACATATATATACAAATATACATAGTATTCTTCCTTTATATATATAAAATATTCCTTCCTTTTTAAAGCAGAAAAATATTTCATTATGTGTATGTTTTATATATATATATATAAACAAATATATATACATATATGCTGTATTTTGTTTATCCATTCTTCCATTTGTCTGTTGATGAACACCTGGGTTTTTTCCGCCTTTTGGTTATTGTGAATCATGCTGCTGTGAACGTGAGTGTACAAATATCTGTTCAAGTCCCTGCTGTATATATCAATTCTTTTGGATATATACACAGAAATGGGGTTGCTAGATCATGCGGTAATGGGATTTTGTTTTTAAATTAGCAAATATGGGATCTCATTCATTCAAACCAATTCCTTGGGAACCACTTCCTTTAATAAATCTGCCCGTGTCCTCTTTCTTCTTTTTCTTGTTATGACATGGATCTACTTTATGGAGTCTTTTGAAAATCAGATATGTTAATGGATCAGAAAGCATTTTTGTAAAGTACGCCATACATATATCAGATATTTCTGTTATATGTGCCATTACAGAAATGATTCTTTTTATCACATCCAGATAGCCACTCCTCCAAAATACATATATCTCAACACTAAATAATAAGATAAAGTTTCCCATTTGTTTTCTACTAGCATTTATATAATATCAAATCTTCTGATCAAATGGCCTACCGTTTTAACGGAAAATAACCATAGCCTGAGTAGATTTAACAAACAAGATTTGGCGAACCTCATTTTCTAGACCTAAAGCCCGTGACATATGGTAATTCGTAACAGAGTTGCTGCGATAGTTAAGTCAGGATGCTTCAGAGGTGCCTCCCATCATTGTGGACAGTGCACTGGGTTGCTGCATGAGAATGAATGAATGCTGCAGGCCACCGAGCACCCACATCCCAGTCAAGAATCTCGGATAGGTCCTGGAAACATCAACATTTTGTTGTATTTCCTCTGTAAAAACATGCCTCTGAAGAATGCTGTTACATACTTGAGGAAAAAAAAATATTTCTTTCTACAACTCTGGAGAGCACATTTAAATATGTTCAAGAATGTGCTACTCGTGGCTGGGCACGGTGGCTCACGCCTGTAATGCCAGCACTTTGGGAGGCTGAAGTGGGCAGATCACCTGAGGTTAGGAGTTCGAGAACAGCCTGGCCAACACGGTGAAACCCCATCTCTACTAAAAATACAAAAATTAGCTGGGCATGGTGGTGGACACCTGTAATCCCAGCTACTTGGGAGGCTGAGACAGGAGAATCTTTTGAACCTGGGAGGCAGCAGTTACAGTGAGCCGAGATCATGTCATTGCACTCCAGCCTGGGCGACAAAAGCAAAACTCCATCTTAAAAAAAAAAAAAAAAGCTACTCATTTAACTTTCCTGCCATGTACTCATTGAACAGGCAAAATACACTGTTCTCTGTGCATGACTACTTTTAGCCCATCTTTCACATATGCCTAATTGTAGAGGGTAAATTTGTAAAATACACACAATTACTTAACAAATTGTATTAAGACAACTGGGTAGCCATCTGTAAAAGTTTTAAGTTAGATTCCTAACCTAACTCATTACACTAAATAAATTCCAGCCAGATCAGAAACCTGACTGTAAAAATTTAAATTTAAAAAAAAGGAAAAAAGAGATAATTTTTATCTTTAATCTTGCACTAAAGAATGCTGATACAGATATGGCACAAACTCTCAAAGTCATAAAAGTCATCTGACATAGTCAAATATTATTTTAAAATTTCTGCATGGCAAACTGAAAGCGACATAATGTTTAATACATAACATAAAGACTATTTCTTTCAATATCAGAAGAGATCCCACAGATCAATATGAAATTATCAGTCAACAACCTAATAGAAAAGTCACAAAGAATATAAACAGTTCCCAGAAAAGGAAAGACAAGGAGATAATCTCATTTATAATTTTTAAAAATAAATTAATGCTATAGTGAGATACCATTTTCCCTTATTAGAATATCAAGAATTAGAAATGTAGCAGTATTTTGGGATGGTGTAGAGAAACAGACCCTCCAGTCCATTGTAGGTGGAAGTTTGATTCACTCTATGAAAGGCTCTTTGGTGATATCAGTTCATATTTTAAATCACATGCCTTTGACTCAGCACACATGTCTAGAAATTTGTCCTACCGATACATTAACACCTAATTGAAATTACTAATATATTAGGATCTTCATCACAGCCTTGTTGATAGTTGAAAAATATCTGTAACAGTCTAAATGTCCAGCAGTAGAGCACTGGTTAAATAAATGACACATTTACTAAGTGGAGTAGTGAAATCATGTGGGGTTATTAAAAAGCAAGAGGACACCTCAGCCCCTAAATTCACATATAATTCTGAGCAATAAACAGGTACACTAACAACAATTAAGAAAGAAAAACACAGGTCTAAATTGTCATGAAAAATTTCTAAGATATATTTTTAAGAAAAAAAAGACAGTGAAGAACAGTCTGTAAAACACACTACTGTTTACAGGGAAAAAGAGTTTATTTTGGTCAGGCACAGTGACTCACGCCTGTAATCCCAGCACTGTGGGAGGTGGAGGTGGGAGGCTCTCTTGAAGGCAGGAGTTCAAGACCAGCCTGGGCAACATAGCAAGACCCCATCTCTAAAAATTTTTTAAATTGAAATATATACATTCCCCAGCATATGCATAGAATCTCCCTGGAAGGGAAGTAGAGATGACTGTTTCCAGAAAGGGAGAATGCGTGGCTGGGAGGTTAAGTGGGATAAAAACTTACTTTTCATTTTATGGCCTTCTATACCACTTGAATTTTATTCCATGGTCATATACTATATATTCAAGAAAACAAAGTCAACTACAAATAACTGAATGCATAAAATTAGAGGAAAAAATAAAGTTGAAGATACAAAACAACAATCCTCTAGTGTAAAGTGTAGGAACTCGACAACTTAGAAAAAAAGCTTAAATGTTCCCAGTGATAAAAGTAAGGATGTGTTGTAGATCTAGAATAATGTACAGTTGACCCTTCAAAATGCAAGGGTTAGGGCGCTGACTCCTGGAGAGTTGAAAATTCATGTATAACTTTTGATTCTCCAAAAACTTAAATACTTGTAGCCTACTGTTGACTAGAAGTCTTATTAATAACAAAAATGGTCAATTAACAAATATTTTGTAGGTTATAGGTATTATAAACTGTCTTCTTACAATAAGGGATGCCAGAGAAAAGAGAATGGTATTAAGAACATGATAAGGAAGAGAAAATATATTGTCTATTCATTGAATGGAAGTGGATCATCATAAAGGTTGTCTTCACTTTGAATAGGCTGAAGAGGAGCAGGAAATGAGGGTTTGGTCTTATTGTCTCAGGGGTGGAAGAGGTGAAAGAGGGGGCAGGAGAGGCAGGCACACTGGGTGTAACTTTATGAAAATACGTTGTAATTTCTGTCGTTTTTGCATTTTCGTTTCTCTAAAAATGTGTCTATATAGTACCAATCCTTCTTCTACCAATCCTTTGCTTTAGTTTCAGTGCCCATATCTGAAAGGTTAATTATCATAAAAGAAGTCAAAAGCAGTCTTAAACAATCAGAACCCTTCTGCCAGATTGTCTAACATCGATTTGTTTTCTGGCACTGCTTCTTCTAGATCTTCTTCCTCGTCACCTGGCACTGGTTCAGAAGCACTCATCCCCGTCAAGTCATCTTCTTTTAGTTCCTCTGGCATGGTGTCTATCAGCTCTTGAATTTCTCCAAGATCCATATCTTGAAACCCTTTACCCTCAACTTTTTTTTTTTTTTTTTTTTTTTGGCTATATCTACAATCTCTTTCATGATTTCCTTGATTGGCTCTGTCATAAATCCTGGGAGGTTATGTATAACATGTGGACACAGTTTTCTCCAGCAGAAATTTATTGTTTAGGGCTTGATGGCTTTCATGGCTTTTTCTATAACATCTTCAGTGGTATAACTTTTCCAGAATTTCACAATGTTCTCTCTATTGAAGTCATCCATAATGTTGACATCCTTTCCATAGAGTGCCCTGTGTAATGAGACTTAAAGGTCCTATGACTCTTGATCTAAAGGCTGAATTAGAGATGTTGTTTTGGGGGGCAAGTAGACCACTTTGATGCCTTGGTGTTGAACTCAGGGGGTTCTGGGTGGCCAAGGGCACTGTCCAATATCAAAAAAACTTTAAAAGGCAGTCCCTTATTGGCAAGGTACTTCCTAACTTCGGGAACAAAGCACTGACAGAACCAATCCAGAAGAGACGTTCTCATTATCCAGGCCTTCTTGTTGTCAGCTGGTGTTATCTTTTCTCTTCAAGGCTCGGGGGTTAAAGCTTTAAAGGATAAGGGCAATCCTGATCATAAATCCAAATGTGTTTGCACAAAACAGTAGAGTTAGCCTATCACTTCCTGCCCTAAATCCTGGTTCTTACTTGTCTTCCTTACTAATAAAGGTCCTTTGTGGTGCTTTTTTTCCAGAACAGGGCACTTTCACCTGCATTAAAAACCTGTACAGGCAGGTATCTTTTCTCCCCAGTGATTTTCTTAATGGTGTCTGGGAATTTGTCTGCTGCCTCTTGGTCAGCACGAGCTGCTTCTCTTCTTATCTTGACGTTTTTTTCAGCCAAACCTGTTTCTAAAATTATCAAACCATCCTTTGCTGGCATTAAATTTTCCAACTTTAGATCCTTCACCTTCCTTTTGCTTTGAGTTATCATATAATGACTTTGCTTTTTCTGGAATCATATTAGAGTCTATAGGTATGCCATTGTTCTAGCAATACTGCACTCACATAAAAGCTGTGATTTTGGCTGAGCACAGTGGCTCATGCCTGTAATCCCAGCACTTTGGGAGGCCAAGGCAGGTGGATCATAAGGTCAAGAGATCGATACCATCCTGGCCAACATAGTGAAACCCCATCTGTACTAAAAATACAAAAATTAGCTGGGCATGGTGACACGTGCCTGTAATCTCAGCTACTCGGAGGCTGAGGCAGGAGAATTGCTTGAACCCAGGAGGCAGAGATTGCAGCGAGCTGGGATTGCACCACTGCATTCCAGCCGGGCAACAGAGCGAGACTCTGTCTCAGAGAGAAAAAAAAGCTGTATTTTCAATATGATATAAAAAGGTATTCCACAAAAAGTGCCAGGTTTTCACACCTGCTGACATAGCTGCAGTGATGGCTTCATGAATTTCCTTTTCTTTTTTTACAATGGTCCCTATGCTGGATTCATTTGTTTTGAAAAGATGGGAAACCATATCTGCAGACCTCAATCTGTGGTGCCTATCAAGCAATTCAAATTTCCCTTGTAATATCATGATTTTTCTCTGCTTCTTGGGATTACTTCCAGCATCATTAGTGGCCCTTCGTGTGGGTCCCATGATGTTATTCAAAGTTCACGGTATTGCACTTAAACACAGTGGAAAATATGCAGTAAACAAGAGAGATCACTTTTTACTGTGATACACAGTTTACTGGAGAGAGGCTGTTCATCAGCAACACTTGAGCTCATCGCAAAAACAACAGGAGGTGGCTATAAAATTATTACAGTAGTACAGTATGTACTACAGTTAATTTTATGCAGTTGTGATTTAATGCTGCATTTTTATGTTAGTTTGCTTTTCTCTCAACTGCCAGTGGCACCATGTACAGGCTCTAAGTGTTTGTGTGTGTACGTTTTCATAAATTTTAACTTTTTAATAATAGATTTGTGTACATTTTGTGTTAGTAAATGATAAAAATAGACTACTATCTACATATATTTTATGGACTCATGACATTTCTAACTCTTTTTTTCATTTTAGAAAAGCTTCTATTAATTTTCTAGGTATGCAGGCCATCTGCGAGTTTTTTCAAATTGTTGTAAGTCTCCAAAAAAATTTCCAATATATTTATTGAAAAAAATCCATGTACAAGTGGACCCGTGCAGTTCAAATCCATGTTGCTCAAGGGTCACCTGTATACCTGTTTAAAGTTTATCCCATTTCTCTTCAAAAGGAGGTCACCAAGAACAATGAGTGGTTTTAGAAGATTGAATTGCAGCCCTTCTTTTGTCAAGTTGTTAGATAGTGGAGAGCAGAGGGATGCAGGTGAAAGACACCATAGGCTTTCGGATTAGGTTCAGCTACTAGTGAAGAAGCCAAAAATGACCCTGTTGAAATTAATAGAAGCTTTTTTTTTTTCCTCACATAAAAGCCCTGTTTAGGCTGAGTGTGGTGGTTCACACCTGTAATCCTAGCACTTTGGGAAGCCGAGGCGGCTAGATCGCTTGAGGCCAGGAGCTCAAGACCAATCTGATCAACATGGCAAAATCCTGTCTGTACTAAAAATAAAAATTAGTCAGGTGTGGTGGCATGTGCCTGTAGTCCCAGTTACTTGGGAGGCTGAGGTGGGAGAATGGCTTGAGCCTGGGAGAGAGAGCTTGCAGAGAGCTAAGATTGTACCACTGCCCTACAGCCTGGGTGACAGAGTGAGACTCTGTCTCAAAACAAAAACAAAAAAAGCGCTGTTTGATAAAATCCTCAGGGATCAAGCTCCTTCCAGGTCTCCCCACTGCTATCACTAGGATAGGCGCCCCGCACTCTTAGCCCAGATGAGTACAGCATCCCAACCATCACGACTGTGTTCAATGCAGCAGGACAAAGGAACACACAGCCCATCCCTTCAAGGAGGCCTCCTGACGGTGCCAAACACTTCTGCTTTCACCCCATTGGACAGAATTTACTTACGTGCCACACCTAGCTGTGAAAGAGGTTGGAAAATAAAGTCTTTAACTGGGCAGCTAAAAATCAGACATCCCAAAGAATATGGATGCTGGGTGGTAACAAGTATTTTATTGTTAGCCAATATTTTATAATTAGCACTGATCACCTAAGTGATAAAAGAAAAGGTAACCATCAGATTACTTATGGACTGTTTTGTTTAGGTACATGTGTCCACAAGTGCCAAACATACAGGTATTTTTTTCTTTAAACCAGTAACTAAATCCAGTGATGCCTCATTTGTCTTGCAGCATTGAGCATTTCAGTGAACGCTTAAGTGAATTTAAGATGACTGAAGATTACCCCCTTCATACATGAACATATTTTGATTTTTTTTAATGTCTAGTATGTTATCTACCTTCTTGCCTGTGGAAAGATGGCACACAGATCATAGCCTTCCCTGATGACTCAAGCATGTCCTAACAAAACATGCATCATCACACAAGTGGCAGCGCCATTTGCTCTGTGTGCCTACGTGCTTCTGGTTCCCTTGCCAGGATCAGGCTGCCCTGGCTGTGTAATATTATACCCCACCCTCTGCCAGAAGCCTACTGTCTTCTGGCCAGCTGTGGGAGTGGAAGCTGATGGCTGTTAAGAATTTGCTGTCATTGAGATTTGGGGGCATCAAGTATGTGATTGTAGCATTGAGACATTCAGCTTCACCGTTGGGGACAACCTAGCACATTTTCCTTTTATTTCCATTATGCCTCTTGATTATAGGAAACCTGTTTCCTCTGTATAAAACGAAAACTGTAGCCTTTCCAAGGTGCTTAACAATCTGTTTAGAGGTCAGGTGCAGTGACTCACGCCTGTAATCCCAATACTTCGGAGTTGGGAGGATCGCTTAAGGCCAGGAGTTCAAGACTAGCTTGGGCAACATAGACCACATTCTACCAAAAAAAAAAGGAAAAATTATCTAACAAAGAGAGGAAGAAAAAAGAAAAAAGAAAAGAAAAAAAAAAAAAAAAAAAAAAAAAAACATTAACCAGGCAGAGTGGCGCCTCTGTGATCCCATCTTCTCAGGAAGCTGAGGCAGGAGGATCACTTGCCCCCAGGAATGCAGGGCTGCAATAAGCTATGATTGCACCACTGTGTTCCAATCTGCTTAGAACAGCCAGAGCCTTTTTAGTGACCTTGAGAAAGGAAAAAAGACTCCAGGGGTAATCATCCCAAATAATGCCCTGTAGAGGACTTTTGGTATACAGGTGTGCCTCCCTGAGAGATAAGCTGAACTGACAAGCATCTCCCTGAGAGATAAGCTGAATTGACAAGCATCGCAATATTTCTGTTTTCCTACAAGGTCACGGAAAGGGAGTTGAAATCTGGAGGAGCCAACACACAGGTGACGGAGAAGAACAAGAAGGAGTACATCGAGCGCATGGTGAAGTGGCGGGTGGAACGCGGCGTGGTACAGCAGACCGAGGCGCTGGTGCGCGGCTTCTACGAGGTAAGGCCCGGTGGCCTGGGGAAGGCAAGCTGTGGCCAGGGCACTGCTTCATGGGGCCTCATCCTCCAGGCTCCCTGAGGGAGCAGCAGCTCAAGTGGTGAGAACAGACAGGGAGAGCCAAGGCGGGCAGTGGGCTCAGCAAGTGCTCCTCACCAGGGAGTGCTGAGGACTTTCTTGGGGTGGAGGGCTGAGGGGTCACTGTTCTCTGGGAAACTCAACTCTTATTGGTGAAAAATGCTTTCAGACAACTGGCATGTGACCCTGGTGTGCCAGATGTGAAAACATCTAGCATCTCTTCGCGATATGTGCAGGTGGTGTTTCCTTTCAGTCAACGAAACAAAAATAAGTGAAGAGAAGGCATCGGGGGGTATTGTCCACTGTCGCTAGAATTTTATTTCATTATAGCATCACGTTGTGCCATGTAATCTATGCTGAGTGGTATATGAGGAAGACAGGGAGGGCCGCTAGACATTCTACGACATCCTTGAACTTCTCCAGTTTAAAAACCAGATGCTATAAATGTTTTCTCACGTCTTGGGTCATGGAAGGCTCTCCTTCCCTGCCAGAATGGAATAGTGCACTGGCCATGGTCTCGTCCACCTCTGGTTTGATTAGAGGAGGTTCCACCACAGGACCTCAGTTGTGCCTGGTACATTTGACCCGAGATGCAAAGTCAGAATGCAGAACCCTAACAAAACAAGTCTTCCCAGATATCTAAGGAGGGAGGAAAGAAGCGAGAGAAGACGGGAAGGAAAAGACAAATTTGCACCCAGCTAGCTCAGTCCAGTGAGCATGAGGCTCTTAATCTTAGGGTCCTGGTTTGAGAAGGGATGGAAAATACAGTCGTTTTAATACAAATGCTAAATTTTAGGAAATAAGTCATAATTGCGTGTGAAAGACTACATTTTAAGTGAAATAGTAATACTAATAGCCACTAAGTCCTTCAAAGTGATGTGGACTTTTTGCCTTTAAAATGCAATGTCCTTTGAAAATTTCAATGTGACTGCAGAAAGTCGAGTCAGATTTGTTTACAAAATCATTGTGAGAGGGAGCATTAGGGGTGGAGCATGGGATTCTTTTTTCTGTTCCCTGCTTATGAAGGCTTGTGTTCTAAAATATTTAAGTCAATGATCATTGTTCGAGCTGCTGTAACAAAATACTGTGACATGGGTGACTTACAGCAACAGTCATTTATTTCTCACAGTTTTGGAGGCTGGGAAGCCCAAGATCAAGGTACCAGCAGATTTGGTGTCTGCTAAGGGGCCACCTTCTGGTTCATAGATGGTACCTTCTCCCTGTGTCTTCATGTGAAAGAAGGGACACGAGGTCTCTCTTGGGCCTGTTTAATAAAAGCATGAAGCTCTCGTGATCGAATCACCCCCCAAAGTCCCCACCTCCTAATACAATCCCCTCCGGGGTAAAGATTTCAACATATGAATTTGGAGAAGGAAAAGGATATAAACATTCAGATCATAGCAATAATTTCCGAGTTAAAAATGATTGCAGACTGAAAAAAAGTATTGCCAGTGATGGTGAGTTTCCCAGTTTAACCCACATAAATATAATAATGAACATAGCCTTTCCACGTGTTTGGACCTGGATACTGAAGCCTAACCTGCATTTCAGGTTGTAGACTCGAGGCTGGTGTCCGTGTTTGATGCCAGGGAGCTGGAGCTGGTGATAGCTGGCACCGCGGAAATCGACCTAAATGACTGGCGGAATAACACCGAGTACCGGGGAGGTGAGTGGCCAGAAGCTGTGATGATATAATTATCACAAATAGAACTCGGCACTTTCCAAAAGATTGTTTTGTTGAGGTGAAATTGACGTAACATGAAATTGACGTAACATAAAATTGACTAAAGCGAACAAGTCAATGGCATTTAGTACATTCATAGTGTTGTGCAACCATTACCTCTAGCTACTTGCAGAATATTTTCATCACCCCAAAAGGAAACCCTGTACCCATTAAGCAGTTGCTCTCACTCCTACGCCCCCTTCCCCCAACCCCTGGCAACCATCAATCTGCCTTCTGTCTCAATGGATTTGCCTATTCTGGATATGTCATATAAATAGAATCATACAAAATGTGGTCTTTTGTGTCTGGCTTCTTTGACTTAACCTACTTGAAGTTCATCCATGTTGCATGTAGCATGTTTCATTATTTTATTCCTTTTTATAGCCGAATAACATTCCATTGCATGTATAAATAATTCATCACTTTTTAGCCGGGCGTGGTGGCTCAAGTCTGTAATCCCAGCACTTTGGGAGGCCGAGACAGGCGGATCACGAGGTCAGGAGATCGAGACCATCCTGGCTAACATGGTGAAACCCCGTCTCTACTAAAAAAAAAATACAAAAAACTAGCTGGGCGAGGTGGCGGGCGCCTGTAGTCCCAGCTACTTGGGAGGCTGAGGCAGGAGAATGGCGTAAACCCGGGAGGCGGAGCTTGCAGTGAGCTGAGATCCGGCCACTGCACTCCAGCCTGGGCAACAGAGCAAGACTCCATCTCAAAAAAAAATAATAATAATAATAATAATAATAATTCATCACTTTTTGAAGACTACAAAAAGCTTGGCCTTACTTCAATACAAAGCAGGAGTTTGTACATGCCTTTCTCCAACTCCCAACCTGAACTTTCCTTCAGGTGACATCATCCTCATATTGGTCGAGTCTCTGGCCTAACTTGGTATAGAGGCTTACAGAGAACATTCCATCCAGGACCCAGCTCCTGAGTGGCATGTGTGCCTCCAGCGAAGGGTGTCTCATTTCCTGCAGAATTGGAGCCCTCTCTGCCTCAATCCTAGTTTGCCACAACACGGTTCTAACCGTGGCCATCACTAAAGCTAATGTCTAACCCCTCCTAACTACTCACCTTGCACACTGCCAGACCTGTCTTCCTGAAACATTGCTTTCATCGGGCCACTTCCCTACCCACAAAACAAGTTCCTTATTACTTCTAGATTTGAAGGGTTTTGTTAGCCTTAAAACTCTTCATTTAAAATACCACAGAGAAGTCCATCAATACAGTAGAGAGTGAGCAAGGGGCATCACCTCAGCCTCCCTCATGTCCCCAGTACACTCAGCCCCACAAAGCCTCTTCTATTATAAAACTGGTATAGTATGAAAACTGCTGTCTGCCTTGCTGGGCATGGTGGCTCCTGGCTTTAATCCCAGCACTTTGGAAGGCCGAGGCAAGCAGATTGTTTGAACTCACAAGTTCAAGACCAGCCTGGTGAAACCCCACCTCTAAAAAAAATACAAATATTAGCCAGGTGTGGTGGCATATGCCTGTAGAACCAGCTACTCAAGAGGCTGAGATAGGAGGTTCCCTTGAACCCAGGAGGCAGAGATTGCAATGAGCCGAGATTGTGCTACTGTTCTCCAGCCTAGGGAAAAAAGCAAGATTCTATCTCAAAAAAAAAGTCTCTGCCTGGCTGTTAAGGCCCCATAACACCCCCAGAAATATTCCTTCCTGCCTTCACCAGACACGCCTCTACTCCAGTGGCTTACAGTTGCCTGCATATTTCCTCCTTGTTCTTGTTATTCTTTATTTTTCCTGCCAGGAATGTCCTCCTCCTTCCCTCCACTTGCACAAGCCCTTCGCACGCTGCTCGTAGCTTCACTTCCTTTCTGAAGCTTTCCTTGCTTCTACTTTGGCACACATGGATTTCTTCTCTCTCTGAATGCCTCTTGCATTTGCAGTCAATGGCAAATCATTTAATTGATATATCCAAGCATGGTCTCCCCAGTTTACTGTGAGAGGGACCCAGTACTTAATCCATGGGCCCAGCATGTATCCACCCAGGGCTGGCCTGAGAGCAGCTGCTCAAGGGGAGAGCCTGGGATCTCCCGTTCACCAAACTGGCTGTTCACCTCCAGCCTAGACTGGTAAGTCCTAGACTCTCCCATGGTATGTGGTTGCCAAGAGCTAAGACAGCAGAACAAAGGAAACATGATGCAATATTGTGTTCATGGGCCCTTTGGTCTCTACCAGACCCTTCTATTCCTTATCTACACCTATATCAGGCAGGGGCATTTTAAGTGGAGTCCCAGTTGTTTAAATAGAAAGCAGACATCTCTGAGAACATCCCTCAGAACATAAAGTCCTTTTATAAAATGACTATTTTCTAAATCTACTCTTGTTCTAAAACTTGACCTAGTTGCACAAATTGTTTTAGACCTCTCTAAAGGCCATCACGAGAGAAATCAGATCAAAAACCGCGACTCCGTTCCTATCATACCTGATATGTTTGATCTGTCTCCCCCTCCTCACCCCTTCCTCTTTTCTCCGCATCCTGTCTTCCTCCCTCCCTTTGCCTCGTGCAGGTTACCACGATGGGCATCTTGTGATCCGCTGGTTCTGGGCCGCAGTGGAGCGCTTCAATAATGAGCAGAGGCTGAGATTACTGCAGTTTGTCACGGGAACATCCAGCGTGCCCTACGAAGGCTTCGCAGCCCTCCGTGGGAGCAATGGGCTTCGGCGCTTCTGCATAGAGAAATGGGGGAAAATTACCTCTCTCCCCAGGTACAGAGCTCCTGCCAGCCTTCGGGGAAACCTGCTGAAGAGGGCAAAGTATACTTTGCTATTTGATTTTGAGTGACCATCCTTTGGGATGGAATTCTTTCCGGTCACCCAAAGTATTGTCATGGCAGTTATTAGGGAAAGGTGAAGGTGAGGTAGCTGTGAGACTTGGATTGAAACTATATTATTCTTAGGGAGGTTTTGATGACTGATGGTATTTCAGCTGTAATATCTTGGTCCAAGTGTCAGTCGTGGGATGCTCTCACAGCCCAACCTAATTTAAAGATGAATGTCTCACACAGGAGAGGGCAGAGGCAAGGACATTAATATAAAAAAGCTGGAACCTGGAAGTAACCCCTCAAGCATCGTATCGGTACTTCTGCAGCGTATCTCTTAATACTTCATAGGATCATTATATATGCGTGATGTGTCGGATTTTTCCTACCAAGTTTTAAAACATGTGGGGATGAGACCACATGTATCTCTGGGTCTCTATGGTGACTTCTATTTAGAAAAAGCACATCTATTGTGGGATAAATGTGGAAAAGGAGACACTGGGGCTCCAGGCAGTTTTACAGAAGAAATTCCCTGCACTGTGAGTTTTAATCCCAGCACTTCCTGAATCCTTTCTATGCCGCTTTGGGTAGTGCATTCCTAATCAGGAAGCACTGAAGAGACAGTGGTGCATAGCGCTGTAGTGAGAAACACTGCTGCAACAGACAGAAGAAAAGATGGACCCCTATTATCTTTTGTCAATAGGATACGTTCTAATTATAAAGAAACTTTGCATTGAACTCAGCTCTCTTTCTACATGGCCACCCAGACACTTTTGCTAAATCCTTATTGCAGAAGGATTTACTGGACTATAGCTTTCATCTAGCGTTCCCAGATTTTCCCCGAGGACAATTCGCCTGGTGTCAGTCAGCATTCGTGGGCGTGCCCAGCTGGTTAACCACAGCTGAACACCCTGGTGCAGGCTTCAGCCCTGGCTTCACCCACGCCGTTCAGCAGACCCTCAGCTCCAAGGGTCTGTCTTGTTTGCATGGCTCCAGCAATAGCTAAACCTAGTGAATTTAAGTCTGGCAAGAAAAGAAGACTAAAAAGGCAGAATTTCCGTTTGTTAAGTTGAATGATAGATTTCAATAATATAGTTATTTGGAAACATCTTGCTTTTATTTTAGAGAAATGCAGCTTGAGTCATCACTGATGATAGCCTACCCCTACAGCATGCGGCTTGAGAAGGGGCTGAGCTACAACCACACACCTGCCCGTGGGAACCGGCAATCTAGGGAGAACACGGCCTGATAGTAACTAATCACAGCACAAGGTAGAATCAGAGGAGCACAGGGTGAAGAGCAGCATGCTGCGAGAGTGTGAAACAGAGACTCCTAATCGAGTTGCCTAGAGAACATGCCACAAAGAAACTGGCATTTAGGGGAACATTGGGAGATGAGGAATAGGGAGAAGGGGCCTTCCAGGCTGAAGCAATAGCACATGCAAGGTCTGAGAGCAGGGAATGGCAGCACATGTTCAGGAAGGTGCGGCCGGCCAGTGCAGAGGGTAAGATGCCTGGAACATCATCACAGGGGATGCAGTTGAGAAAGAGTTTGGTGAGCCACAAACAAAAGACCCTGCTGGCTGGGCGCAGTGGCTCACGCCTATAATCCTAGCACTGTGGGAGGCTAAGGCAGGTGGATTACTTGAGCCCAGGAGGTCAAGACCAGCCTGGGCAACATGACAAGACCTCATCTCTACAAAACATTTAAAAACTTAGCTGGGCATGGTGGCATGCACCCTTAGTCCCAGCTACTTGGGAAGCTGAGGCAGGAGGATCACTTGAGCCCAGGAGGCCGAGGCTGCAGTGAGCTGTGATTGCACCACCATACTCCAGCTGGGCAACAGAGTGAGACCCTGTATCAAATTAAATTAAAAAAAAAAAAAAGAAGAAGAAGAAAGAAAAAAGAAGAGACTGTGCTGAGGAGTCTCTATTATTTAGGAAATGGGAGTCATTGCCTCTGTTATCTGGGGTCACAGATTGAATGTAATTTCTGTATTTGCTTTGGAAGCTTTGAAATATACATTAATATTATTAACCCACACAGAGAACTTCTAAGGCAGACACTGGGCTTATGAACATGTTCTTCATATCTGGACCAAGGCACCCCTAAGAGGGCTGCTACACCACAAGCCCCAGAGATGGTTTCTTGGGGAAGCAGGGACCTCTTCTTGGGACAAGAAGCAAATGCCTCTAAGAGGACACTGATAATAACCCCCTGAATAGTGACCCCTGTCCAGTCTCCCTTGGACAGTGTCTGAAGATCCAAGAACGTAAAAAAATGTCATCTATGTGTGGATAGAAGGAAAGAACCTCTGACTTCCAGAAACTGTCATTCAGGAAGACCTGGCCTGGCCATGGCAGGTGGCAGGAAGCCCTGAGCAGGCAGGAAGCAAAGCAGACCCCGGGTGGCATGGGCTTCCCAGGTACTGCGAGCCACAGTGCATGTGGCCTGAATTCTGGGAGAGGCGGCCTTCAGCTCTTTCCTCAGGTCTTCCCTCTGCAGAAAGGAAAGACAACTGGCTTCCCAGATGAGAGCGCCAGACACCGCCACAGCAAAACCCGGTCATAGCCCAGGCTACATAAAACCTTTGTGTCAATCCAAGTCCCTGCCTGCTAAAAGATGTGTGAGGGTCAGGAGAAATGACTTTGAGGGTAGGGGCTTCTGGGATATAATTTCATAGTTGAAGTAGATGAGAGGCAGGACTGTCACTGGAGTTGAGGTCAAGGAACTGGGGGTTTGGGTGTTCACCCTGTCAGCCCTGTGGACTTAGTTGCCACACAGTCTGGTAGGAGGACTTGAAATGGAAAGGAAGACTTAAGCAAAGTGCCAGATAATAATTATAGTAAGTTAGAAGTTCAGAGGGTCAGAAGGAACCAAAGATCTATCTAGATCACTGATTTTCAAGCTTTTTAAACCATAGTCCACAGAAAGAAATGCCTTTTATATCACAACTCAGGACATGTACTCATTTGCACGTATGTGTGTGTATATCTGAAACTCAAGTTCCTCAAAACAGCACTTTACCCTTATTATCTGCAATAAAATCTATTTTCTACTCTATCCTATTTCATTAAAATGAAATGCCAGCCAAAACCTATGGTTTTAAAAATAAATTATCTAAATGACATGAGATTCAAAGGAATGGAAACTGATCAAGGATTGCAAAGTCATGACATGGAATTGACAGCAGGGAGTTTGAAGAATGTCCATCCACGTCACAGCGTGTGGGGCAGTGAGCAGTTTCCACCCATGAGGACTGGAAAGGGGACACTAGGACCTGGAGGCAGCATCTGGAAAGAGCTTAAGGAGGTGGCAAAGTTTCTTTACTTTGAACAAGAGCTCAAAGGAGGACAGAGGAAAGGCTTGGAAGGAAAGAGAAGCACAGAAGCTAGGTCAGAGTCAAAGTAGCACTGGGCAGTGTGGAGACAGAACAAAGGAGAGGGGAGAATCTTTGGGTTTACCTTTGGGGCAGGGACCAGGGATATCAAAGCTATGAGTCATTTAGGCAATTAACTGGCCTAAAAGTTGCAAAGGAAATTCTAATATGAACATGTTTCACTGCAGATGTAAACTGAGCCCAGGCCCAGGGTGGAGTTGGAGGCCTGGTTAAGTTAGTAGTTGGTTTACTCTGTAGCAATGGTTCTCAAGGTGGGACTAGGGAAGGCGACTTTGCCTGTCTTCCCCCACAGGAGGCAGTTGACAATGTCTGGAGACATTTTTGGTTGAGGGGAAGGGGTGCTACTGGTGTCTATTGAGTAGAAGCCAAGGATGCTGCTAAACATCTCACAATGCACAAAACAACTCCCACAACAAAGAGTTATCCAGTTTGAAAAGTGAATCGTGCCAAGCTGAAAAATGCTGCTCTCTAGTACCTAAGGCCAGAAGAGGACCTACAAAGGAGGCCTGAGGGTGCCATCAGGGAGCTCAGCAGAGAAAATGGCAGCCATTGAGAAACCAAAGAGAAGCCAAGGAGGAAGATGTTCCAGAGGAAGAGCTTTCAAATGCTTTTAAAGAGCTGGAGCAGGAGGGAGTAGAGTATAGGCTTCTGGATTTAGGGATCAAGAGGTTACTGACAAACTTGAAAAAGTAAATTTAGCAGGGAAGAGAGCAAGGCCTATCTGAAGAGAACAAGGCTATAGTTAAGCAGTAGAAGAAGATTGGCATGAAGGGAAGACACAACTTACATAACCGGCTGAACAATTGGCAGCAAAGAGGAGTGACTGCTGCCTCTTTTGTGTGTTTCTAGCCAACCTTAAAGTGGTCTCTAGTAGAGAGGAGCAAGACTTTCTTTGGCCCTATGTTGGTTAACATTTCAATCTATAACTTGGAAAAAATAGAGGAGACAGGGAGATCAACTGTGTAGATGACACAGTTAGAAGGATAAACAATACAGGGATTGGCATAACCCAATCCAAAATTATCTCAAAATGCTGGAACCCTAGCTTGACACCAATGGCATGGAATTCGACATAACTGAAAGACCCGTGCGGATCTCCAAAACATCCGTCGTACCAAGTGTGAGAAAAGAGTGAGTCACCTGCCAGTAGGTCACGTGCAAAACCCCAGAGGCTTCAGCTGCCACGAGTATGACACAGTTCCCCAAATCATTATCACAATCATGGTTGCATTAAGAGAATCTTATGTTTAAATGATGATTCACAGGTTACAAAACGCATTTACGTGTGTTCTAGCGTTGATCCTCCCCATAACCCTCTGAGGTGCACGCAGCATATATTATTATCCCCACTTTACAAGTGAGAAAACTGAGGCTCAGGAAGATTAACTGACTTTTCCAGGGTCATAAAGCTGGTAAGTGGCTAGACTGGGGTCAGCATAGAGGTCTTCCAAGCCCTGGTTTCTTGCTGTCCACTGCCCCACACCACCGGGCAATGCTTGGTTTGGTGCACAGGAATGAGGTAAGCGGCACTCGGTGCTGTCAGAACCACACCTGGAGGATGGCGAGCTCTTAGGAATGCTGAATTGGATCATGATTTGATTGTGTTCGTTCATTCTAGATGACAAACTAAGGGAGTTCACCAAGGCTCTAAATAAATGCAATAAAAACAGCTAGTAAGGAAACCGTGGGTGTTCAGACTAGGTGCTATTCACCAATGCTTTCTGTTTACTCCCAGAAATGATCTTTTACAGAATTAATTTGGTTCCAACTAATTTGTAAAGATGATTTTTTTTCTGTAATATTTCCACTCATGAGTGCCAGTTAAAATGACCAGAGGAAGAAAACTACGAAGATGATGCCTGCTCCTATCTCGCCCCTGGCTAATTCAGCTAGTTCCAAAAGCATGCTTGGGATTTCTCTGCCTTACTTCGCCTGTTTAGCCATAGCCCAATGTATGTTCTAGTTTCATTGCAATCTTTTTAACATAGAGAGAAATCACTGTAATCATCCTAGTCAATTTACTGAGTTCCCTTTCACTCAAATATTTACACCTAGATAAAGGATTTCAATTATTTTCTTTTAAAGTAAAGGAAGGCCTGTATGAATCTTAGATAACAGTCTAAGAATTCTGCTAATCTCTATTCATATGTTTCTTCCCAATTATGTCTTTAAGGCCTAAGACCAGACACTCTACTACCTTATGCCTGCCTTTGGAGCTTGAGCGGGGATGGGACAGGGAGGAGGGAGGTAGGGGTTGAGGATAGTTCCCCAAGGACTGCCAGGAGGAGGAATGGGTGCTGGGCAGACGAAAACACCAGCATCCTCCCTAGATTCTCGCTGGGCAGGAAGCCCCACCTTCCCTCTTTCCTCTTCCCATCTTCCTCATTCCCAAAATAATCTCCCCCCATAACCTGAGTGCTGCATCAGCCTGGGCAGTGATCTGATACTCTGATTTATATACTTTAAAACAAAGGTGTGAATAATACACAAGTCCCCTAGGGATCTTGTAATGAAAAGAAGAGTTTAATATCCCAAATAAAACTCTAATGAAGAGAGTTTAGTTTTGTTTGTTTCTTTGTATGTTTGTTTTGTGATTTGATTTGGTTTGATTTTAGAGTGCCCTTTTCTGTGCTGGTTGGTGTCTCAAAACACCATTGCAACACACTACTCTTAGGGAGGAAAAGGCAGGAAATGAACTTTCACCTGCACCCATCCACCTTTCTCCCTACTATGGTACAGGCTCAGCATCAGCCAAAGTTTCTGTAGAAACAAAGAACTACTGGCAGGGAGCAGCTAGTCAGGTGATTCAAGGCTCCACAGCAAGGGATCTATGTCTACTGGGCTTCTTGTACCCACTGCTGGAGACCCACATGAGTCTTCCAGGTCCAGGTGTTAGCCTCTGGCGAGGAAGACATTCCTTGTCTAAGGCAGACACTGGCCATGCAGGAGGAAACACATGAAGCAAACTAGAACCCTGGGTGCCAGGACTCTCCAGGCATCTGGGGAGGACTGGCTCACATGGGCAGCTTTTCTTGGAAATGTAGCACTTCAGCTTTAGGTTCTGTGGGTTCTACTGGGGTAGAGGAGTCAGACTTGTCTCCAGCGCACACTTGACTTGAATGGAGAACTGGATCTCAGAATTCCAGGCCATCTCAAGTTCCTCTAAATAGATGCATGTGGTTCACAGAGGCTCAGAAATCAGAGCTGGGCAAGAAGACTTAGGAATATAATCCTTCAATACTAATTATATTTCTGCCTCCTACATCGACCACATCAAAATTTATAACGCAATTGCAAATCAGGCTGATACCATAGAGTTTATAATCAGTTTGCTAATGTCATTCTAGTGTAGTTGGTTTGCTTGCAAATGCGAACAACCCATTTTTAGTTATTCCATTCCTTCCACCGGTCTATTCATTCTACAGGAATATGGCTCTTTAGTGTGCAATGTTTTATGGTGGCCCCGAATCACAGTCCTGCTCACTTTTGATTCCTTTTTGAATCACAACTTCAGACAGTCACAGATCCAGAACCAGTTGTATCGAAACAAACACTCTCACCGATCTCTTCTCCCCATTCAGGGCACACACATGCTTCAACCGACTGGATCTTCCACCGTATCCCTCGTACTCCATGTTGTATGAAAAGCTGTTAACAGCAGTAGAGGAAACCAGCACCTTTGGACTTGAGTGAGGACATGGAACCTCGCCTGACATTTTCCTGGCCAGTGACATCACCCTTCCTGGGATGATCCCCTTTTCCCTTTCCCTTAATCAACTCTCCTTTGATTTTGGTATTCCATGATTTTTATTTTCAAACCAAATCAGGATTGACAAAAGCTGTGCATGAAGAACTGCCTTCTTCTAAGATCTAACCTTCAGGCTTCTCTCCTCTGTTTTCAATGAACTGCTAGCCTGTATGCAATATTAAAAAAACAGCTGTCTCAAGGTCTGTGTATATCTCCACATACCTCCATTACTAACAATGAAATATGAATGCAAGTTAAGCTACACTTGACCAAATGGTAATAAATGTTTACTTCCATTTCTATCATTTAAGGGAAAATGTGAGCATTAAGCACTCCAAGCTTTTATATGCCCATGTCTTCTGAGCAGAGCCACCATTTTTTATAATTTCTAACAACCAACTCCAGAATTAGGAGCTGATCAACTCTTTGTTTTCCTCTTTATCTACTTTTCCCTGCGCATAATATCCATCCAAAGGACAACAGTGGCAAAGCTGAAATTTTTATACATTCAACTCATGATTCACATGTGGCATCAGTCCCATCAGCCGGAACTAGCCTAGACACACGGTGCAAATATGACACTCCCAATGATTAACAACAGCAAGAAAACACCTGCTGCTATGCGATGCAATGCATCCCAATGGTTGCGGGGATTGTGGGCTCAACTCAAGAGAAGTTTAGGAGGGAGAGCATTGCTAGTGAATACTCACACCACAAGAAGGACAAACTTGTGCACATGTCCAAGAAAGAAACCTTCTTGATTGATGTAACATGAAGGATGAGGCTTCAGCCCCCATTGTCTTGTGTAGAATGTGGCAATGCCAACTGGAGAAAGGGAAGAAGGACATATTATCTTGGTTTGAATCCCTGAGTTCTGTACTGTTCTATTTTGTTTAGTCTAGCCACAGTTCTTCATAAAGGAAAACAAAATGTGTAGATGATACCATGACTTTTGTTAAAGCCATGACTTTTGTTTGCTTGGCAGACAAACCCTTCTTTTTTTAAACTTTGATATTGGTTTTTTTCACGTTTTCTTTTTTCCTTTTCCTTTCTTAATCATGGAGTTCAAGTTCCTTTACATTCGACTGTCCATCGGGACCACACTAGGAAGCTGCAAAGAGTGATGGTGCTTGTTAGGGATCAAGGGCAACACAGTACTTCTCCTTCACCCATAGTAATCCTCCTGGGGCAGAAACATAGCACCCCAAAGGCACGTTGATTTGTGTCAAAATCAATATCCAATTTCTTTTAGCATTCAGTGAAAATATATCTCAGAAAACTTCAGGTTGTCAGAAAAACAGTTGCAGGCTCCAAAGACAGCCTAACCTCTCAATTACATTTGAAATAAACCCAACCATAATGGTCATTTGCTATTTTTCTAACGTTGTTATCCATGTTGTCTGAAATAGGTCATAAATGAAAGTGTTTTTCTTCACTGGGAAAAAGAAGAGCTCAAGAGACCCAACTATTTAAATGTCACATTATTGTTTTCCATAGTAAAACAAGGGAGAAATGTAAGACGAAGTGAATTTCCTATGAAGCCAGGCCTAGTGGCTCATTATACCAGTTTGTGTCTGGACAGTGTGTTATTTGTGTTTCCTACACTCTAAAGCATTCCAGCCGGGAGCGGTGGCTCATGCCTGTAATCCCAACACTTGGGGAGGCCAAGATGGGGAGATCACTTGAGGTCAGGAGTTTGAGACAAGTCTGACCAAGATGGTGAAAGCCCATCTCTACTAAAAATGCAAAAATTAGCCAGGTGTGATGGCACACGCCGGTAGTCCCAGCTACTTGGGAGGCTGAGGAAGGAGAATCACTTGAACCCGAGAAGCAGAGATTGCAGTGAGCCAAGATTGTGCCACTGCACTCCAGCCTGGGTGACTGAGGGAGACTCCATCTCAAAAATAAATAAATAAAAATAGAAGCATTCTTTTAGTAGGAAGTATCTACAATGCCCAGCACCCCTTGCAGCAATGTGTCCGGTGTCAATCAAGGAGTATACATTATAGAAATTTAGCCTTTTATTGTCTAAAAAGAATTTACTGAGACAGGATGGAATGTGTAAGTTATATGATAAAGAATTTGAGGGATATGTAAAATTCAGTACACATTCAGCATCTGAAAAATAATGGATTCCAATGGAGCTATTATTTTATTTGTGAAATCAGAACATAAGGACTATGCAAATAATTGAACCATACCCTTATTCTAACTCTTGCAACAGCATCTCTAATATAGGGGCATCTTTTATCTTTAGAACTTGGTATTATACATATGTAAATACTCATTAATTCAAACAGTCTCTTTCTAGTACTTACATTATTTGTCAGGCATTAGAAAGGGAGAAAGCTGTTTACAAGATGGACCGGCTCCTGGAGAGCTTTACAATTTATATAAATAACGAATTAATCTATTAATTAGATTAATTAATATCTATTCTAACCATATACAAAAAGAATGCAGTATCTCAGAAATTATATATAGATAGGTAACTTTGGCATACATGATTTTTCAACTAACGTTTCCTTATCCACCAGCACTGCTGATGTCACAGCTCTAGATCTATCCCACAAAGCATAACAGGAACATTATTTCACAAAAATGCAAAATTTCATGAAGAAATGCTGATGTCACGGTCACCTGAAAGAAGATGAAGCTTGTAATACTTTATTGCAACCTTGCATAGAATCCTTAAGGAAGAAAAACAAAGAGAAGAGGAACACAGAAACAAGTTATGGAAATTCATGTTTACCTTTATTTATAAGGCTGATGTTTAAATTATATATAATTTTTCATTCAATGTGCATATGAAATGAAATAGCTATAGAACTAAATTTCACTTACGTGGAGGTGTAAACCACCGTAATTGTATAGTTCGGCAGACAGATCTATTTGTTACCACCTGTAATTTTTTTTTAAGCATGAGTTTTCTCCATGGAGGCAAATTGCAAAATTAATCACTTATAAATTTATAAGCCACAATCTCCCTAAAACAAGATCTTTTAGATTTGGTTTTAGTAAGAGTGTAACACCTTTAATCAGGGGACAAACAAGAGCAATAAATAAGAGAAGATTTATGTTACAACCTTCGAAAAATGCTTTTAAAAATCTATAAAGTGTTATAATAATAATTCCATGGATATCACAAATGTTTTATTCTGCAGTGTGAAGATGATAATCCTAAAAATGGAAATTGACTCTGTGGGGTCAGGAGAAGTATTCTAAATCTACTGAACTCTTTGTAATTTCTTATGTATATAAATTACTGGAGGTTGTGAAGATGCCTAGAGAGTGGTGAAAAAATTAAGAAAAAGAGACATATGATTTGGCGGAGCAAACGTTAAACATGCAAGACCTAAATTTTCTTTTAATACATGACCATATGTCCTTGAACAGTAAGTATATTTGTGTGGCAAGCCAATGGCTGAGTTTTCCAGGATAGTTTTAATATTACATCCATCATATTGTCAGTCCATGTGTCAAACCATGTGTCCAAAATTTGGGTTCAGAAATTTCTCAATTACCACAAATATTTTCCCAGTCAAGATGAAACACTTTCAAATGAAAGTAGTTAGAACTTTACATAACAAATGTGGTGCTTTATTATTATTATTATTATTATTATTACATACTTCAGTGTTCATTATTAAAACTACTGCAATACTATATCATAAAAATCTGGGATGGATGTTCCAGCCATCATAAATGGTCCAAAAGAGAAAGTGTTATTTTCCTGTTAGCGACACGTAGTCCCTTTGTTCTAGTAGAAAAAAAGGTGCCTAGAGGTAGTATATAGAGTAAATATTGTTCCTTTAGCCTACTTCCTGCAGCTTCCAATTTATCTAAGGAAATGTCTACAACAATTTTGTTCAAAAGTCTGTTCTAGTCAATAGCAGGAGAAGTCCACGTTACTGGGCTGATTTTGCTTACATCAACAAGAGAAATGTCACGTGATACTCAGGCCGCGCTTTCTCTTCCATCACACCATCTTCAAGGAATGTCAATAAACTCACTTTGGTATGGCATTGTGTATGCTCCTTATTGCAAACGGAAGTCTAGGACAACACATAACAATCTGTATCCTGCCTTATGCTCTCGCTGGATGTAAGCAGTAAAACAACACAGAAGGCTACCAGCTGCTATGATTTTTTTAAAGTCCCAAGAAAAAAATTATCTATCAAAAAAGCATAATATGTGCTCACAAATTCATGAATAAAGAGGAGAGCTTTTGTAGCAAGTTCCTTGTGTTTACCTATAAGAACCCTAAACAAACCACATGGGCAGCAATTTTTTAAGTTCCCTTTGTGTAAACCAGTTGTGCACTGGTTTATATACATTCCTAGCTATGGAGATGCTTCTTTGAAAGCTTCAGGCTACAGCCTAACACCCAGTGTCATCCCAGGACAAGGGTTACCACTAGGCAACCATATTGTGTCCTATGGCTCATATCACAGACTCCCAAGATGGAAACAGCATGATCTCCTTCCAAGCCTCTAAAAGACAAACCATGTGGCTCTTACTGGGTGGTTAGAAGCTGATTTATTCTTTAGAAAGAAAATATTCTATTATTAGAAAAAGTGTGGGGAGGACTGGGAGAAGGAAAAACCTGACGGACTGATTTGGAGACAGAGAGGCGTCTTATATTGCATTTTTCTTTTATTATGATGATGATGATGATGATGATGATGATGATGATGATGATGAGACGGAGCTTTGCTCTTGTTGGCCAGGCTGGAGTGCAATGGTGCAATCTCGGCTCGTTGCAACCTCTGCCTCCCAGGTTCAAGCAATTCTCCTGTCTCAGCCTTCCAAGTAGCTGGGATTACAGGCATGCATCACCACGCTCGGCTAATTTTGTATTTTTAGTAGAGACGGGTTTTCTCCATATTGGTCAGGCTGGTCTCGAACTCCTGACCTTAGGTGATCCACCCGCCTTGGCCTCCCAAAGTACTGGGATTACAGACATGAGCCACCACGCCCGGCTGATACTGCGTTTTTTCTACACGTCCTGGGCTGACTTCAGATTTATTCTAACTGAAAATCACTTTTCTCCTAAGGCATAAAGAGAAAATCTGAACTAGATCATCACTTATAGTGAGGCGTATAGTATTCTGCTTTAATCTTACTCTGAAATCAAGATTGGACTTCAAGTCTCCTGATTTCTTTTAATTTATTTATTTATTGGCTTATTTGTTTGTTTGTTTGTTTATTTTGAGACTGAGTTTCACTGTTGTTGCCCAGGCCAGAATGCAATCACATGATCTTGGCTCACTACAGCCTCCCCTCCCGGGTTCAAGCAATTCTCCTGACTCAGCCTCCCAAGTATCTGGGATTACAGGTGTGCACCACCATGCCCAGCTATGTCAGGCGAAACCCCATCTCTGTCAGGCTGGTCTCAAACTCCTGATCTCAAGTGATCCACCTGCCTTGGCCTCGCAAAGTGCTGGGATTACAGGTGTGAGACACCGCACTCGGCCAGGTCTCCTGATTTCTATGGCCAAACTTTTCCAATTAATATGCTGACAGCTCATTAATTATGTACTGTAGGGGGGAAAGTGACACACATAGCTTGTGCTCGAGACACAGTTTAGAGGATGGCTCTCTACGAGAATAAGTGAAGGGAGTTATGGAGGATCAGGCTAACCTTTATCAGCGCTGCAGGAATTACATATCACATTTATGACTGGGAATAGACTTAGACACTTTTGTCCAACAGGTTTACCTTGGAGATCTGAGAATAGAATAGTTGATGTCAAGGTCACTGAGTTTTATCTTGAAGACTACTGCCTTGTCACAAAATATCCTGTGGGGTCCTGGGCTCCTGGACCTGGCATAACTGTTCAAAAATGTGCCAGGAGCATGAGGTATGCAGAAGAGATGGAAGCTCAAAGAGTACAACTGGATGCCAAGAATCCACGGTCAGTGTGCAGTCACCAAAGAAGGATTTGGGCTGCTGGTTCCCACAGCCCCTCTGTGCGAGTTTGCTAAGGCTGCCAGAACAAAGAACCCCAAGTTGGGTGGCTTAAACAAGGCTAGTAGTTTGAGATCAAGGAGTCGGGGGCTGGTTTCTTCTGTGGCTGTGAGAAAGCATCTGTTCCACCCCACTCTCCTAGTTTCCAGTGGTTTTCTTGCAGTATTTGGCATTCCTTGGCTTGTAGATCTCTGCCTTCATCTTTGTGTGACTCTGTGTGTGTGTGTGTGTGTGTGTGTGTGTGTGTCCACATTTTTCCTTTTTATGAGGACACCATCATATTGGATTAGGGCTAACCCTAATGACCTCACTTTAACTTGATTAGTTCTGTAAAGACCTTACCTCCAAATAAGGAAATAGAATCACATTTGAGGTACTGGGTGAAGTTACGGCTACATTATATCTTTTTTGGAGGATGTGATTCAATCTGTAACATCCTCCTTCCCTAAGAGCCTCCAGCAGTAATAGGAACAGTCATAAATTCTGACATGCCTTTTATGTATCATCTTATGAAATAGCTACCTTTATAGCCCTCTTTTAAGCTGAAAAAGAAAAAAAAGCATAGAGAAGTTAACTAACTTGCCCAAAGACACACAGTTAGTAAACAACATAGCCAAGATTTGAGAACAAGGAGCCAGCTCCAGGGCCCGAGCACTCAACCACACACCATCTCATTCAAGTAACCATTTATTGAATACTTGTTACACGTTGGGTCTTGTGCCAGATACAGGGGTCAGTGGCAGTCCTTGCCCTCAGGGAGCTCATGGTCTAACAATAAAATGATGCATCCTTCTCCTCCAGTTGAGATTTGGCTTCTGATTCCAGTGTGAGTAGTCTCCCTGACCCAACTCGCCAACCCTGGCTCACAATATGATGCCATTAAAAATTAATAAGCAATGTGCTACAGGAAAAGGGAACAAGAGCAATTGTCTCTGCTGGTGAGGAAGGATGGGCAGTAATGAACTCAGATGGAGACAGAATTTGAACATGTATAAAAATGGGAAAAATAATTTAAATGTATTATATCAGAAAGAGGGAAACGGTTTTTTCTGAAACAGTAAACAGAAATGAGCAGAGGTGACTCAATCAGCCTAAGAACCTTCATATCTTTAAAAGCTGGGAGAATACAGCTACAAAGAGATTTTTTAAATATCTGGAACTTCTGATTGAATTAGCATTAAAACTTGTTCAGATTAGAATTAATTTGTTCAAATAATTGGGCAAGTTATATATGCCCAAGAACTTGTATTTCTTTCCATTTTATTCCAAAGAGCACATCCTATAGAGTCTTCTTTTTTTCTTACACAGTTGTTATATAATCCCTATTACTTTTTAAATGTAATAAAAATTGGGTCCTGGCTTTTATCCTGTCCAGAATTTTATATTCACTCATAAAAAGAGCTTCTTCCCTTTTTCCAACCTTATTTCTTCAGTAGGAAAAATTAAATGACAACAGGAAGTAACTCTTTTCTAAGATTGTGGTGGATCACATAAAAGGGCCTCAATTCTTCAGCCCCCCTGAAGCCACACCCTTTACCCTGTAACTTTGCAGTCACCTCCACCTGTGGTTGGACATTCTGACTCATTCCCTGAACCACCCACCCAGTGTAACACAAGCAGAGGCATGTAAAGTACTTGCACGGCTGAGCTTGCCCTCTCTCTCTTGTTGCTGTGCTATCACCATGAGAGCAGGCCTGGAATAAGAGGAGAATGAGAGATGTCGGGGGCCAAACTGAGCCAGGCTAGATCAACCAACAGCCAGCTGACCACCAGGTACTTCAGCAAACCCAGCCAGGATCATTAGAGCCACCCAGCCAACCTCCAGCTGACCCCGGAGATATCAACACTGAAAGTGTATGGTTAAATACCAATGATATTTTGTGATCACTGTACTTTTTTGTGGCAATAAATAATAGACTCAAAGACCATTCGGCATTCTTTCCTTTTTAGGATAACTTTTGAGAAGAAACACTGAGAGTTTAACCTTAGGAGTGCATTCACTATGCATGGTAGCTACTCTTTAGTTTAAATTGACAATGGCCAAGTCTGGTGGCTCACACCTGTAATCCCAACTACTCAGGAGGCTAAGGCAGGAGGACTGCTTGAGGCTCAGAGCTTGAGACCAGCCTAGGCAACATAGTGAGACCCTGTCTCAAAAAAATAATAATTAATCCATTAATAATGAGACTGTAGAGAAAAGAGAAATTGGCATGTTGGCATAACTTTTCCGAATATAATTTGATGATATGTATCAAGAGTTTTAAAATATCAAGGGCCCAAGTTATGGTTCAAAATTGCATCTTGCTGGTGGATCCGGAGAAGAGGCCTTTCATTCAGGTCAGACACTAAACTGTTCTCAGGTACTCTTCCCATCCCATCATCAGTAACACTCTGTGTTTATCCAGGATTAGAACTCCTATGTAGACAGCAGGAACTAAAGGAAAATTATACTGTATCACATGTTCCAAAAGATGAAGGCCCATACACAAATTCTGCAGGGGAGAGTAGGAGAAAGAAGAACCCTAGTGGCAAAGCATTTATTCATTCAATTTATCAATAAATGTTTATTGAACATCAACACTGTGCTGGACGTTGTTTTAGGCACTTGGGTTGCATCAGTAAGCAAAACAAAGAATAAGTAAATAATATAGTATGTTGAGAGGTGATAAGTGTGATGGGGAAAAAGGAAAGGAAATGAAGAGAAAGGGAACAGGGTTGAAATAAAAGAGATTAGAAATATAAAAAGAATTTTTAGTGACGGTGCTGACAAAAGATGATGTTTGGGCAAAATCTTCAGAGATGAGGGAATGAGTGCTGACACTCTCTGGAGGAAGAGTGGCTTAGTCAAAGGCTACAGCAAATGCAAATGCCTTTGAAACTGAAGCATTTCTGGTCAAGCCTGTGGTGGCTTGTAGTTTTCATGTAGTTTTTCAGAAAAGCCATCAGTAAAGGTAGAAGGCAATACTTCCTCAGTTCCACTGAGGTTCACTTAGATGAATACTTACCAGATTCTCCAATTGGTCTGTACTCACCCACCTGCTATTCAGATGTAGG